CGCAGCCGACCCCATCAGAGGCTCCTCCTCCTGGGGGCTGGGAGTGAGGCAGCAGCTTGGGCCCAGCCCTCAGCTTCTCCAAAGCTGGCCATCCCCTCCCCCCTCGACTTAACACACACACACACACACACACACACACACCCTGCCCCAGACCCAGAGAACCAGGTCGGGCTGTTTGGGGAGAGGCAGTGGGCCATGCGCCGTGTGTAAGGCCCTGCGTTACTTGTGCCTAGAGCCCAGAACTACAAGTCGGGGGCCCTGTTTGGGACCTGGCAGCACCACTGCTCTGTGACTTTGGGCCAGCTCTGCCCATTCTGGGCCTCAGTCTTCCCATCTGCAAAGAGGGCCACTCTGAGGGTCCAGACTTAGAGTTCTCCCTGACAGGAGAGCAAAGGGCCACCCGCCTCCTGGTGGCTCTCACCCATGGCTACAGGTGCTCACCCATAATTTGCCAGTGACATGACTGGATTCAAGCCCAGAGCCCAAGCCTTTGGTGGAGCAAGGTGAGGTGGGGCAGAGAGGGCACGATGATGATGATGACAAGCAGCCTTCTCAATTACTGAGCACAAATTATCTACTAGGCGTGTGCTAACCTGTTACACACCTTCTCTCATTCAGCCTGACACCAACCCACCCGGTAGGGACCATTGTTCACATTTACAAAGATGAGGAAGCAGCCTCAGAGAGATCGAGTAACATGCCCAAGCCCGTTAATAAATGACCGAGCGGAGGCTGGAACCCAAGTTCAGCCGGCCTCGACCCCGCTCTGTCTTGCCTCCCCTCCCAGCTGAGGAGCTGCAGCCTGCCTGGGGGTCTCTGGCCTGAGGCCGAGCCTTGGTGGTGGCCTCCTCATAGCCCAGGCAGCCTGGGCCACGCCGTAAATGCCCCTCCAGCCAATGGCAGGGTCACGTTTTCCTGAGGGTGGCCATGGAGGGGGGAGCTGCGGTCCCTGGGTTGAACTCTGAGGCGAAACCTTCCTGCTGAAATGGGTGTGGCACCAAGAATTATTTTTGAACCGGGTTTTTGGATGGTATTTCTGTGACCTCAGATCCTTGTGGAAGTGTAAATGAAAGTAAGCTGCCTTTGTTTCCTGTTAATATATGAGGGAGAAATATAACCAAACGTAAAAGAATCCTGAGCACAATTCTGTCAGAAAGTGGATTTCATTTGGGGAGAAATTGGGATTATTTGAACGATCAGGTTTGGGTGAATGGAGGTAGACCTGGATCTCCTCCTGTTTTATCACTGTGTCATTTTTAGATGAATTTGCCAGACAGAGAGGCTTGTATCTTGACAGGGCTGTGGTCCACCTGGGCCCCAGGCTCTGCTCAGAACCTGTTTCTCCATCTCCCAAGGTTTCCTAGGTGCTGGAATTGCTCCAGGGGTTTCCTGGAGGTGCCCTCTTCTCTTTCTCTGGAAGCTTCTGAGTCCACGGTGGCTCTCCACTTTCCTGCCTTCTGAATCCCACTGGGATGTTCCTCCACTGCCTCTCTGGTCCATGTGGCAAGCTCAAAACCTCTGAGATCTCCAAGAGCTCTTCCAGTGGGAAAGGGATCAGGTGAAAAGGCAGACACAGAGGGAGTTTCCAGGTTTCAGGGTGGACGTGATGCTAGGATAGGTCCCCTCTTTGCTGATTGAGCGGTCTCATTGTATCCTCAGAGGGCAAAGTGTCCAGCCTCCTCTCCCTCACCCCTTCACCTCCTCACTTTCCCTTCCTCCCTGAAGAGATGGCCTGGCCCTCCTTTATCGCCTCCACTGAGGAGGGGGCTGCTTCTCAGGAAGGCCCATTCTAGCATCCCTGACACTGTGATCTGAGCCAAGTTCACTTACCTCCATAGGAAAATCCCCCTGGTTGGACTCTATTGTCTTTCTGTTTAGTTTTGGACCTTCACCTTGAGGCTCAGAAAGCCCCGGCCCTGGCCTTAAGCCCTTGGAGGACCTAGCTTATGGTAGGGGCCACACTTGCCTCACCTGCTGGCGTGCCTTGACCGATCGGGAACTGAGCCCAGGTATGAGGGGCCCAGGTAAAGCCTGTCACACCTCTAGCCACACCTCTTTTTCTTTTGCTTAAAACAACATACATTTATTATCTTACAGTTCTGTAGATCAGAAGTCTGATACTGGTCTTTACTGAGCTAAAATTAAAGTGTCAGCACGATTCTGTTCTTCTCTGGAGGTTCTAGGGGTGAATCGGTTTTTTCACCTTTTCTAGCTTCTAGAGGCTGCCTGCATTCCTTGGCTCATGGTCCCCTGTCATCTTCAAAGCCAGTGATGGCCAGTGGAGTCTTTCTCACATCACACCACCCTGCCTCTGCTCCACCGTCACATTTCCTTCCCTGAGTCCCAGCCACACCTCTTAGAACTGGGAAATCAAACTGGATTTCCAAGAGGTGCCCCAGTGAGGAGGGAGGAAACCCCTGCCTCAGCCACAGCTGCTCCCCTTCCATAGGTTGTCCAGAGAAGGACTGTATTCTTAGAGAGGTTCCCCTGCTGAAAACAACCACGAACCAACCAACGAGATAACAAACAGTGCCTCGGAGTCATGGCTGAGTCAAGGAATCTGTGAGGTATTTAGAGCGTCCACATGAGTGTCAGCTGGCCCTGGCTCAGATCTGGCTCTGTCCTGACCTATGCATGGCCTTGGGCAGGCTGCTCCACCTCCCACCCCTCCCCAGTGCTGCTCCTTGGCTAGAACAGAGCCTCCCTTTCCCTCAAAGAGCCCCCCTGCCCCTCGAACCCCCATTCTCCCATCCACGTCCTGTAAATGGCGGGATTAGGATTCCAGGCTTTGGGAGCAGCACGTGTAATGGTTTAGAGATCAGCCCTGGAGCAGAGAACCTGGCTTCGCCGTTTACTTTGAGGCTTTGGGCAAATTATTTGACCTCTCTGTGCCTCAGTTTCCTCATCTGTAAAGCGGGGATAATGATTGTACCAACTGCATGGGGCTGTTTTGAGAATTAAATGAATCAATAATGTATAAGATGCCCAGAACAGTGCCTGGTCCATTGAAATTGCTCAGAAAATTTTACCTATTATATTATTACTACTATTATAGTGACCACTTTGCCAGGTTGCTCGCTTCTAAAGCTCCTAGGCACACAAAAATAGTAGCCATTAATATCCTGACAACTCAGCTGTAGAAAGGAGGCGCCCTAGACCCCAACGCTAGTGCAGAGAGTAAATGAAATAATTAGAGAGATGGTCTGCCCAGGAGCCGCCTCTCTCGCAGTCCCAGTGTTAATCCCCGCGCCACGCCCAGTCCTGTTAAGGGCCCTGCAGCCATATCGCATCAGATCTAGGACCTTGATGTCCAAACAGAACTATCTAGGGAATGTCCCAGGAGATCCTGGCGTCAACACGCAGCCTCTTGGAAGCCAGGGAGAATCAGGTGGGCTTTAGTGGTAGCCACTGGGTGTGTCCAGTTAGCTCTAGTTTTCTTGTTTCTGATTGGGCCACATCTGCACTCTTATAACTCCTCCCTCTCCCTCCCAGCCCCGCCCCCTGGCGTCTTGGGCTACAGCAGCAGGCGCGGGCGCGGGGGAGCCTGGCCGCCAGGACTGGGGAATCACGCTTGCTGTGAGCGCGCGGGCAGGGCAGCGCTGGGATCTCGAGTCCCCCGGGATGTGTGGAGCATACGGAGAGCTCGCCGTTTTGGCCCCTCTTGAGAGGTGGAGAATCTTGAATGACCAGCCGACCCTCTGCCTGGTAGAACAGCTCACAAAGGCTTCTGCGTCCAGTTCCCGGGGTGCTCCCAGGAGCCTCATGTCACGTTCAGGGCCCAGATTCTCAATATCTACAGGGCCGTGGCTGTAGGTGCAGGAATGTGGGGGGAATGTATACTGATCCCAGGACCTTCCTGACAAGCCCAGTCTCTTTTGAATAAATCATTTGGCTTTCTTGCAATTTTCTCCTAAAGTCATGTGCAACCGGAAAAGTCATCACAATTTGTTCAATGTTTTGGTTAGTAGGATTCTGGTTAATTGAAAATTTGACCTTTCTTCTCTTTCCCCTCTGGCTATAGAGGAGGAGAAAGTCCCTCATGCCTTATTAAATGGATGAAAGCCCTCCTTGAGTTCTTATCAATGTGGGTTAAATGTCATGAGGGAGATTGGTTGAGAAAGTGAGAATTGCTCCTCACACTCTCCCCATTACTGTAGAAACAGCCCCTAGCACAGGCCCAGTTGCTGGAGGAAGAGGAAGGTCCTTCATATCATCTTCCTACAGGGGAAGGGACCGTGTTTGTTGAGCACTTACTATGTGAAGGCCACACTTATTCCTCATAACAGTCCTACAAGGTTGCCACCATCATCACTCCCATTGTACACATGGGAAAACTGAGGCCCAGAGAGGTTAAGCAACACGGTCAGTGGCAGAGCTGGGATTTGTACTATGTCACATGGACCCTACTGTCCTGCTCTTTCTGCTCTGCCCTCAAGGGCACATCAGAGCCGTGCACACAACCATTAATGGTTTGGGGGCTCAGGGAATCTCCATTTAGAGGAGTCCAGAAGGTGGCGTCTGGGCCACTGGGGGCAGCAGGTGACCTCATCTGCTCTGCTTGTTCCAGATTAGAAATTCAAACACTTGAGAGAAAAGCCAACTTGTTTTCCCCCTTCTCTCAGAGATAAGCTTTAGCCAGGGGCCTCGGCCAAGCTCTCAGGGCCCCAGAAGGAAGTACAACTCGTGGTGGGAATAAAGGCTCAAGACCTGTAGGGGGTGGATCAGGAGGGAGATGGCTGCTGGGGGCTGAAAGCCCCAAGAACACTGGGGAGGCCCCAAGAAACCGCCCCCTGGAGTCCCTCCTAATCCCGCCTCAGTGGGCCCATTGGCACACACCCCATCCGTAGGACCTAGTTACGTAAGAGGTGCTGAGCTGAGTCAAACAGCAGCCAACTGCAGGGCCTGGTTTTCCTTCCTGGGAACTGCAGGGCAGATCGAAATCAGCTGGCCACATGCCTTTGCTCTCCAGCTCATGGTCTCCCTTCGCTTGTCTCCTCTAGATGGGATCTATTACGGAGACAATCGATTTGACTCTGTGAGTGAATCAGGAACGGCCACACTGAAAGCTCGCCCAAGAGTCCGGCCCCTGCTGACCTTCCTTCCGCTGGTGAGTACGGTTCTGCTCTGAGGTCTGAGGGTCTGGTCTGGATGGGCCACCTTGGCTGCCACAGAGGAGGCAGCCCCACCTGCCCTGGCCCAAGTGGACATCAGCCTTACCCTGTGTCCATTCCCTTCCTTCCTGATGCCAACCCAGGGCGGCTACTGGGAGGAGGCATGGCTGAGGCTCATGGCAGGAAGCCTGGGATTAGGGATGTCAGCTCCTCCAGGGTGAAACCCAAGGAGAGGTTATGGGGAACTTGTGTGTAGTGACAATGCAGCAGTGGTACCTCCAGCTAAGCAGGATTCATGTTCCACAATCACTGATGGCTGCCTGCTCCATGCCAGGCCTGCATTGGATGCTGGAATTCAGAGATGGCTGAGCCAGCATTGCTGCTCTCAAGGAGTTCCCTGCCCAGTGCAGAGGACGAGTGAGTAAACAGACTGTTAGAACATAGGCCAGAGCAGGGGCAGCCAATCCAGCCACAGGGGGTGGTCAAGGAGGGCTTCCCGGAAGAGGTGACACCTGAACTGTCTCATGTGACAAATAGCAGTGACCTTTGGGAGAAGGGCATTTGGGACAGATTTGTTTGTGGGTCTGAAATTACAGGAAACTCCCCTCTGCACCCTGTGGTTGGGCTTTTGTTGTTTGACAAGAGAGAGACTCAAAACAACTGCTCTGTGACTGGTTCTATTTATGTGATGAGAGTTCCCGGGTTTTCTGGGACAGTCTAGACCAGCGCTGTCCAATAGAAATATCACGTGAGCCTCAAGTGTAATTTTAAATTTCCTAGTACCTACATTAAAAGTAAAAAGAAATGGGTAAAATTAGTCAAAAGATTATTTCAACATTTAATCAATATAAAAAGTACTAATGAGATGTTTTACCTTCTTTTTTTCATACTAAGTCTCCAAAATCTGGTGTGCCACACTTAGAGCACGCACATCCCACTTCTGACTAGTGACATTTCAAGTGCTCAACAGCCACTGTGGCCAGGGGCTACCATATTGGGCAGCCTAGAGCTAGAGCCTAAACAGTCAGCCCCATAAATTCTAGGTTCACTCTGGTCTGTCAAACCTGGGTCTTGGTTGGGACAATACTGTCACTGGGGTCATGGCCTCCTCATACCTCCGTGATGATCTGTGCTGCCTACACTTACGAAGTCTGAGTTCTAATCCTGGTCTGAGTTCTCAGGGGCCTGTTAGACCTGATGGCACCCCATGCCTTGGTCCTGGGCACCTGCCAGCACTGCCTGGCACAGCCACCTCCCTCTCTCCATCACCAGTTTTTTCTGATTTGTCCAACCTCACCAACCAGACCCTGAGGTTCTAGATGGAGAGACCGAGTCTTACGTTCTCCTTGCTGCACCCCCAAGTCTGTGAGCGCACAGACTTCTGGGAATACAACTTTAAATAATTTATCTTCTGCTTATAAAAGCAATTCATGAACGTTATAGACAAATGTAGAAAGTACAACACCAACAACAAAAGAGTATAAAGCAAATGAGTCAGTCCCTAACTTTGTTTCCAGAGATGCATAAAACTGTAACAGGGGTCGTTGCACCCACAAATGCAGATGAAATAATTTTGAGATTTTCATTGCTGGAAATGAATTAGATTTTCTCCCTTCACCTACCCCCAACACACACACAAGGAATTACAGTGGTCTGGGCCCAGGGCTGACACATCCACACCTGTTGTGGTTGTTAAAATATTGAAATAAATGGCTGTTGCCCCTTGACTGGCTCTTGCTGTCCTGGCCCCTCCCTCAGACCTGAACCAGCAACTAAAGAGTTAATGCAGCACAGCTGAGTCTGTTAATAACTGTATTATTACAATAACTGTATTATGTCCTGTATCCCCCCACACACACTTTGGGCCCCTTCAGTAATCAGGGGTCTCCCAGCCTTTCTGCTCTCCTCACTTCTGGTTTCGGCCCTCTGGTTTGGATCTGGTCTGCGCCAGCCAGGGCATGACTCTGGGGCTGCGCAGACCCCAGGCAGGCTGGGCAGAAGACTCGGTGGGCCACTGAAGTGGGCCGGGCTGGCTGGTGAGGCCTGGAGTTCCGAGACTGCTTTTTGGGAGCAGTCTTTCTGAGCAAGCCTCAGAGCCAGTCCTAGGTGATGGGGGCTTCTCCCCAACAAACTCATGCCCCCTCACTGGTGAGGGCGAGAGAATGAATGCACCGTGAACTGACAACTGAAAGGGGCCTCCTCCAGAAGGGGGAAGTTCAGCCCATGCCTTCATGCCGGCTGAGCGGGGAAAGGCAGGTGGAGTAGCTCGTTAGGTCCTGTCCAGCGGCACGGCCGTGCGACCATGGCTAGCACGTATGGAGCACTTACTGTGTGTCAGGCAGCGTCTCGAGTGCCTCGCATATGTTAACAGAGTCAACGAGCCACCTTATTGCGAAGATGCTGTCATTAATCCCCACTTTACAGATGGAGAAATGGAAGCACAGAATGGGGCAGTAACTTGCTTAAGGTCACGCAGCTTGTAAGTGGCAGAGCTGAGATTGGAACCCTGGTAGCCAGGCTCCAGAGTCCCAGTTCTGTTCAGGCCATCCTACTCTCCCCTCCACCCACTACCTAGAAGCTTTTTTCTTCCCTCCCAGAACCAGCCTGCAGAACCACCTGCATCTCCCTTGTCAGCCTCTCTGAACCCCTGTCCAGCAGCCGGGGCCTGCTGCCCACCAGGGTCTCTTGCCTCTTTGGGGTCATAGACCCCTTTGAGACTGTGATGAAGCTTTGGGCCACGTGCACACAATTTTGCTTATAGTTTCAGCAGAGGGCTCTCAGGCCCCCAGAAGCCCACCTATGATGTGCCTTTAGATTAGGTTCCTTTGGTACTACGGCCTGTATCCTGGGGACATCTCTGCTCCTGACTCAGGTCACAAGGTACAGAGCAGCCCCAGCATCCTTCTTCCCCTGCTCCTGGGTTGAGGGGAATCCGAATCCTCTCCCTTAGGCTCTGGGCAGGTTCTTTGTTGTCTTCCAGCTGGGGCTAGGGGAATGAGAACCAGGAGGACAGAACTCCATGTGGGTGTGGATTCACACACAGACATACACATGCAGTCCCACCGAGTCAGGGTGGGTGGGGAGCTGGGCTGGTGCCCAAGCCCTGCATGACTCTGTCCTAGCCAGCAGGGCCTCGCCCCTCCCTGTCCTCCCTTCCCACGCTCAGAGGGCACCTCCTGGGCCAGGCCACCCTGGGGCAGGGGAGGCACATGGCAGCAGTGTCAGAGAAGCCAGGTGACAGGCCCATGCTCTTCCTTGAGCTCTGTCTGGGTCTGGGCCGTCTTCTGAGAGCACCCCCACTGTCGGTACCCTACGTGAGCCTGCAAAGGGACGGGTGCAGGAGGGGAGGGCAAGATGAGGCGGGAGAGGGTAATGCAGGTGCTTCTGCCCCCTCCCTGGAGCTTCCTCACTCTGTTTAAGGTGAAAGTGCAGAGGACTAAGACATACTTTCTCAGGTAGCCAGCAGCCATAGGCCAATTATGAAAAGGACATTGGGATCCCTCAGTGACTGGGATGGGACCCGGATTGATCCTCTGGTAACTGGCACCAGTCCTGGCTCTCCCTCTGGGCTGCGGGGAGGCTGGGGGCCTGGCCTTTCCTCTCCCTGGGCCTCTGGCTCCTCACCCATCTGTGGGGGTTACACCGGACCGTCCTCCAGGGTCTCTCCAGCTGTGACTTTCTGTGATAAAATAACTCCCGAGGGAGGGGTGGAGGATGGGGTCAGCTCTCTAGAGGCCCCCCGAGAAGCCAGGCCCCTCACGAGACCTCCCTGAGCTCTGCTTCCACCTCTGAAAAGGGGGGCTTTCCAGCCACCAGGGCCGCCCCACTTTCTGCTCCGAGATCCCTGAGGAACTGGGTCAGAATCACCACACTTTCAGAGCTGGGAAGGACTTGGCGCCCATCAGGACAAGAAAACTGAGGCCCAGGAGGGGAGGGTCCTCCGGGTCACATAGCTCAGGACAGGCAGAGGCAGGACTCAAGCCTGGTCTCCTCCTCCCAATCCAGTCCTGTCTACACCACTGTGGGCCTGGGCTGGGTGGGGCAAGGATCCTTTCTCCCCACTTACTTCTGCCTCCAAGGGGAAGCCAGGCCCAGAGCTCAAGCCAGAGCCTGTCCCCAGCTTTCGAGAGTGGCTAGAACAGCTGGTCGTGGGAAGGTTGTCCTTCTCTCTGGGGCTCCCTCTTGCCCTCCCTTCTCAATCAAACCATCTGCAGGGTGATGCATATGAGGAATTAAAAATTAAATGTCAATGTGGCAAATATGGGGAAACTGGCTGGACAGGTCCCCAGGGATGCCCCGGGCGTGAGAGCTGCTTGGGTCACCCCACCCTCGGAGTCAGGCAAGCCTGGCTGTGCCTGGGGAGGTGTCAGGCTGGGCTTGGGGCAGGAAGCCCATGTGCTCTGGACCCCACCCTCTATTCCTTGGCTGCCTGGAAGCTCAAAGAAGCAACCCAAGTCAGCTGGATTTCTCCTTTCCACTCCACCCGCCCCCGCCTCCCTCATATGAGCTCATCTCTGACCTTGAGGCCCAGGCTCCTTTTGGGATTGGAGTTTGAGCTCCTTAGGGTGAGCCGGGCAGGAGAGTCATCACTGACTTGTGAGTGATTCATGCGGCTGACGTTGGCTAGAAGGGAGCTCCATGTGTTCCCGTGGGGGGTGGGTGGCAGAGGCCTGAGCTCCCACTCCCACATAGCCCACCCCCTCCTCCACCCACCCAGCTCCTTCCCTCATAGTGAGGGCCTCAGCCTGCACCTCCAGAGCTCCATCCACACCCTCGTCCTTACCCACAAACAGCCACCCCGTGAGCTCAGGGATGGGCACCCCTAGCTCAGGCTGCCCTCAGGAGGTCTGACCAGGAAAGATGCTCTAGAGGTGGGCTCAGCGCCATTTAAGGCGGGGATTCTAGGGGCCTTGGTGCCTGGAGCAGGGTCGTGAAGGGAGTCATGTGGGCTCTGAGAACATGTCCCGTTGACCCCATGGACTCTGTCCTGTAGGGA